TACAGTACCAAGTGCAACAAGAGACACAGAATTCGGAAGAAAATGACCTATCAGGAGAACTAGGTAAAAACATATAAATTCACTTCTAAATATTTTAATGTATTGGAATTGTAAAATCAGTTAACATTATTGATATGTTGTTTAACTTTGCTTCATATTATTGTAGGCCCTGTGACTCAAAAAAAGGAAAGAGGTAGTACAGTAATGCAAAGTGTACATGCGCGACAAGAGCGTAAGTTGGTCGTGTTGAATAGGTACAATCAACCCATTGGTCCTACTAATGCCGTTGTAACAGAGTTGGGGAGTTTTCTTGGAACCTTGGCAAGGAATGTGATGCTTTGTCCTCTTAATATTCATAATTGGAAGAATATGGACACAAAAAAATATTTGTGGGATTATACCCAGGTTTGAGTTCCTGCATTTCTAATTTCAGTTATAAACTTTTCATACTTTTTACTAATGTAAAGAACCAATTGTAGGAGAAATATGATATTCCTGATAATGCAAAAAAGGGCTTTGGATGGAATTAAAAATGCGCAGAGAAAGTATAAGAATAACTTGTATCAAAATCAGTATAAAGCATATGCTAATGATGATCTTAGAATGGCAAATAATCCCAAAAATGTTTCAGAATTTGATTATAAGGATCTTCTCAAATATTAGGACTCTGAAAAATTCAAAGTTAGATTTATATTTTATGTTCTGATTGATTCATTTTTCTATTTTTGATTCATTTTTTAATTTACGTAGAATTTACTGACTCGTTTATTTACAGGAAATGAGTGAAAGAAATACCAAAAATAAAAATAAAAGATGAATCCACATACTGCTGGTAAAACAAGTTTTGCTGTGATACGCAATAATTTGGTATGTTCTCCTGTTAATCATTAAATATGAACTTGTTGTCATAAAAGATCTTTAATACCAACTTTATGTAATTAGGAAAAAGAGAAGGAAAGCCACGATGAGCTGTCAGCTAAAGAACTTTTTGTGGTTACAAGATCAAGAAAACCTGGTCGAGTATACAAGGACTCCAACGAAGATACAATTAGTAAAATTTTATGACTTTTATTTGGTTATAATGTTGTTAAGATCCTTTATTTGTTTTTAAATATTTGATTTTGATTTGTAGGCTGAAATGGAGAAAATGCAAAGTCAACAGAATGAAGATGACAATCAATCATTTGATGCTTTTACAGCAGTCATGGGACATGAACACCCAGGGTGCCTGAGATTGTATGGATGAGGAGTTACCAAAAGTACTTTGAAAAGAAAAGCGTTTTCTGAACCTTATTTAAGTGCTAATGATGAGAGGATGGAAACAAAATAGAGGAATTGGAAGAGAGGATGCATCAAAGGATGGCGGAAAAATTAGAACAACAAAAAGTAACCATACACCAAGAAGTTATACATGATATTCTTGGATGATTTAATCGTATGTACCCTGGACTTCAATTGAATGTTGTCATGTTGGCATCAGTGGGTGCTCAGTCACCACAAAAAGCTATGCAACCGTTGAATCATCCATCTTCTAGCAAAAACCATCAAGGTATGTCGTTTATGCTTCACTTAATTCTTTCATCCATCTTTAATTATAGTTGTTCCAGTTGAATGTTGAGTTTTCTACGCACTTTTTGTGTATACATTTATATCGATCAAGACCCTGTTTTGAGTATCAGAACCTTGGACTCTTCTTTTCCTTTTCCAAATGTTTTGGTTGTGAAAATGTTAGTCTTTGAATCATTGTTCTCTCATTAGTGTACCATCTTAAATTGTGAAATTATTGTGGCTCTTATTTGTAAGTGAAATTGTTGGACGGTTGGGAACGATAAATATTTAGCACTAAAGGGCTGGCCTATTGCTGACACAGATGAACCGTTGTTGTAAGTGCTAGTTTGTAGACAATTTGTGTAAGTATATACGCTGATGTTGGTCCTTATGCGAAGATTAGTAACTTGTTGTTAGTTTAAATTAAGGATCATCTTCGCTTGACTTGGCAGATCTGAAAAACTATGAATCTCAAACCTGCCTGAAGTGTACAAAAGCCATGTTGGCTAAATAATTTGCAAGCATATTTCCTTCTCTGTAAGTGTGTTTCATTTGAATCCGACACAATTGAGATGTATCCATTATGTCTCCAATAATTATGTAGTTGAGTTTTCACCATTCTGCGACTTTAGCTTGGCCAAATGGATTGTCTTTTCCTATATGTAGTGGAGTCTGGATGAAGTTTTGGATACTTATAACTTGTGTGTTTGGTGTGTGCGTGTGATTTATGACTTCCATGGCTTGAATTTGACTAGTTATGGTGATTGGAAGGGTTAGAATAAAGTCTGAAGGTTTTGTCCCTTCATGTTTTGTTGTTAAAATTCCTTCCCTTGAAAATTGTTTTTTTGAGATGTTGTGGTATACTTTGGTACACTGCTAGTGTTGCTATATTTGAGTGTCATGTTTATTTTATTATATATTCCCGTTAATATGTTTTGTTAATGTGTCTCTCTTTCAATACAAATCTATATTACCAAATTTTGAGCCATTTGTATCGCCCAACCAGCCCTGCACCCACTAAAAGAAAAACAGTTCCAATCTGAGCCATTTCAGGTTGCTGGATACAACTTGCATTTTACAGCAAGCAAAAAAATAGTAAAAAGTTTGTGTCAAAGACTAATAGGCAGGCTGGCTAAATAGTTTGACTAACTAAAGGTTACTTAATAGTAATTGGCCAAACTGTAGGTTATATCGATTATTTTCTGCTACTATATAATGCACCAACCTTTGTTAACATACTCAAAGTATGTGTCGTGATATAAGGAAAAAGTGCAGATTGCAAGAAATGCACTTTTGGCACATTACATATGCTCGATAAGTCAGAAGTGATTCTTTATATAAATGGATTGTTATAAGTATTGTTTTTTCTGGGTAATGGTGACTAAGTGGGAATCAAGACATGTAAAGATTCTGTCTATCGTATTTTCTGTTTGGTTTCATCACTATCTCTTGTTATTTGTTCTGTCACTAAACTGTTTTTTTGAATGTGTTTTTGAGATGATTTGTTCATTTGGTGAAGTTGAGTCACAAGACAGGAATGTGTTTTACATATTCTCTTCCTCTGTTTCCCTCATATCCTCCTTCATTTGGTGGAAGTTTTATTTTTCACAAGTAACCAAACTCATCTTCTTCATCCCCATCTGGAAACAAGATCAGTCCAGTTCTTCTTTTCATTATAGGTATATTAGTTGTCCTGTTTTTCATATCTGGTCTGCTCCATTTGCTAGTTAGGTTTCTTATCAAACACCCTTCTTCTTCAGCGTCATCTCAATCTAATGGATACCCTGAAGTTTTTAGTTCAAATTCTTTGCAAAGACAGTTACAATAGTTATTCCATTTACATGATTCTGGTTTGGATCAAGCATTTATTGATGCATTACTTGTCTTTTTGTACCAAGAGGTTGTTGGTCCTAAAGAGCCCTTTGATTGTGCTGTTTGTTTGTGTGAATTTTCTGATAAGGATAAATTGAGATTGCTCCCTACTTGTAGCCATACTTTCCATATCTTGTGACAGAGCAAATAACAAGAGATAGTGATGAAACCTTTATGGATATTGTGATGACTAGGATATTTCGAATTATATATGTGAATCGGCTATATATAATTAGTCATTTTCTTACGTGATTTGATTTAGAGAATTTTTTATAAATTGTTGTTGATATATATATATATAATGCTCAAGAAATCTGAACTATTGCAACATGTTGGGAAAAACTGTATATTCATATAGATTGATTGCAATAGAAAATAAAAATGTTGCAATATCAATTAAAACCGTTGCCATAATATTTAAAAAAGTGTTGCCATAAGAACAATCTATTGCAACGGTTGCTAATAGTTACCACAACCCCTAATGCAACAGTTGTAAACTGTTACAACTGCTGTAATATTATAGTGCCTATAGATGGACGAAAAACCGTTGCAATAGAGGTTCCAATAGCAACGCTTTCAAGAACCGTGACATTAACTGTTACAATAGAGCTATAGTAACGCGAGCAGATGAGACGGTTGTAAAACCGTTGCTGTAGCGCTCTGGCAACGGTTTTAGGTCCTATTGCAATGTATATGAAACTGTTGCTGTAGACCAAAATTCTAGTAGTGCCCCCAACAAATTCTTCATTTTCAAATTCATTAGCTGCAAAAAAACAAGTGTATGGCAGTTTAATAACAAAGAATATAGAGTTTAAAGAATATCTATGGGAATGTGGTGTTACACTACAAAACATCTTACACTTCATATGCTTCCCAAAGTTAACATGAAAGGATTGTATACATTTCATAACTGATCGAATAACAAGTATTAGTATAAATCTATTATGTATTTTCCATATGGTGCTGCATACAATAGTAACCAGATTGTCATGTTTTCATATTGTCCCCTTTTCCTGTGGCTTGATGAACAAGAGAGGTAAAATACGATTTAGAAAGTTCATTTTTACTATTAATTTTGTTTATCTTATGTAATAATGAGGATGAAACTCCCCAACACTTGTGTTTTAAGTGTTCTATAATAGT